ATATAATATTATATATATATATGGCTGTTTGCTTCACACACACCTTTCTTTTCCCCTCCCCATGGCTGAGGTTTAGAATTTAACTGGAGCCCAAGTGGAACCAGAATTGATCTCTTTTCTTAAGTTCCGCAGCTGCTTCTAATGGCTTTCCTACCAAGCCTTACTCCTTTCGAGCCCCAGCCCTTTTGGCAGGCACGCATTCCGGCACTTTCCTGCCTTGTTTCCAGGCAGGAAGTCATCCTAGCACTGGCCAGAGACTCCAAAGAGAGGCGGTCTTTAGATAGACCCTTTGGCATCAGCCGGAGCCTTTGTTGTTTTTCAAAGGTGTTTACTTTCAAATTGACAACTGTCTGCGCTGGAGCCTGCTCTGGAGATTGCCAGGCCTGCACTGCCGTCCAGTCTAGGCTCCAGATAAGCTCGGGGGCAGACAGACAGGACCAGGGTTAAAATAAACGCAGACTCCCCCCCCCCCCCCCCCAAACAAAACACTGAGGGTACCCAACATGGCAGGGTGATGAAAGCAACCTGTTTCATAGGGAAATGCAGTAGGTTGTTTGTGTGGCCGAGTCAGAACACAATGTCAAAGAAAAGGGAGTAAATATGTACAAATCGGAAAACCTTAACCATTATGAACGTTTTGCTAATGTGTCAGCACACGGTCGGTCCCCTTTTTATATAAGAACAAAACAGCAGCAGCAGTAATAATCATGATGGTTTAGCACTAACTATGCACCAGGTACGCATTCTGAAGGTTTTATCTGAGTTGATTCATTTAATCTGACAGCCCTATAAGATCGCTGCCGGTATTACCCTCATTTTCTAAATGAGGAGACTGAGGCGCTGAATTACTAAAGAATGCGCCAGCTGGTAAGTGGCAGAGCCAGTAGAAGAAAACTTTTGGGGCTTCTATTTTTTTTAAATAATATATTTTATTGAGTTTTTACAGAGAGGAAGAGAGAGGGATAGAAACATCGATGAGAGAGAACCATCGATCAGCTGCCTCTTTACACCCCCAACTGGGGATGTGCCCGCAACCAATGTACATGCTCTTGACTGGAATCGAACCTGAGACCTTTCAGTCTGCAGGCTGATGCTCTATCCACTGACCAAACTGGTTTCGGTGGGGCTTCTATTCTTAACAGTACTTACCAGGGCTAATTCTCAGTTCAAGGAAAGTTCAGGGTTGTTTTTGTTCCCCCCCCCCCCCAAGGTTTCTCAAATATCTGAGTGCACATGAAATACTTTCCATTATCCTAAGTTTTATAATCTTCCGTGGAAATTATTTGTAAGTATCCTGTAGACATCACTGCTTCCTCCAAGGACACTGAACACAAGTTAACTTTTCCTTAAAGCCTCCATGTTAGCATCACAGACATTAATTTGGGGGGAGGCTAGATGGAGCCTGACACTCTCGGGCTTTTTAAGGTTTAGAGTGAGGTCACTCTGATCCACACACTGGACAATGGCGGTGGCTGTCTCCCCGGGAGCCCCTTCTAAAGGTGACTGGCCGATATAGTCCCCTGCTGAGGCACTGGGCCAACAATTGTGCTCTGATGTAAGCAAACTTGAGGCATCTCAGCCAGAGCAGACGACGCGAAGAAGACCCCTAACCTGAGCAGCCCTGTTCCAGACTGGCCAGCAGTCTACTCTATGAACCAGAGGGCAGAAATTTAGCTACAAATGGGCACAATGGTCCAAGAGTCTCCCTTTGGGGGATTTGCCCTGGGGGTTACTGGTTCCCAATGGGAGCTAAAAGAGTGTATAGAGAGAGCCCATGAGGCAGAGCAAGCGAAAGCGACAGGAAGCTGATAGCAGTCCTGAAGAGAAGCTGTGAGGTGGGAAAGAATGCCCAGCTGGCTATGGAGGTGAGTGCAGAGGGCGTGGCCAAGATAACGGGCAGGTGAGGATTAGGGGACTGCCTAATCCAGGCCCACCCGAAGACTTTGGCATTCTAAACAATATGAAAGCACCCTGTGTGCAAACAAACAACAACAAAACTGAGTCTGCAGGTGGAGACAAGCCAAGAGCTGGCAGTTTACAAATTCCGAAGAGAGGATGAGGAAGCCAGGCAGGGGCAGGCAGGGAGGCCGAAAGACCCCCAGGCGCAGCCAGAGGAGGAGAGCTGGACCACATAAATCAGCTGTGATGATGCACGAACTCCCCACACCGAAGTCCCGGGGAATGTGAATTCCTGGTGGCGCCCTGGGTCCCGTCTTCCCCAGGTCTGGCTCCACCACACGCCTGTTCTTCCAGAGGCTTGGGGATCTGGCCTTTCGTGGTTCCCACGAGGTCCTGTGGGGCTGAGATCCTGATGTTTTTTGTTTTTTTTTAATTCCTGGGAACTCCTTCCCCTAATATTAGATGTAACTTGAGCTGTTCCTCGGAACAAGAGCCTAACAAAAATACTCTCCATGGCCCCAGATTGCTCCCCCGCCCCTGCTCTCTCCCCTCCCCCTTGGAATTATTGTTGTCCTATTTTTAGTTTTTCTGTTTCCTCCTGTGCTGCTAGGCTGTCAAGCATCACTTTTTATTGCTGTAGTTGGCTTGCTTCTAGCCATTCTCTATCATTAAGGCTACTTGTCGAAGAGGGCACTAGATCCACCAGCTTGGTGGGGCTAAAAAAAAGTAAAAGTAAACAGAGTGAATTTTATAGCCTGCGACTACCTCAGTATAACTGTTATAAAAATTAAATGAGCAATGCAAGCATTTTAGTGTCACGTGAGCATTAGTGTATAGTTTTTGGAAATGCACGTTGACTGTTCAGATGTCTTTCTAGCTTACTCTTTTACGTCTGGTGCCAGTCCAGTGAGTGAGTGGCTTCCTACAAGATACCTTGGTTCTGAGGAACCACAGCACGCTGGAGCCAGCAGCGTAGGAAAGATTTATTTTAAGACGTTACACAGAACTCAACCGAGGAAAGTAAGCGTGTAAGACAGCCTCCCTCTCTCCCTGATTCTGTCTCTCCATCTTCCCCTCTCTCCCTGGAGTTAGTGTCTTGGTTTCCTAACCTCCGCTTGTCCTCGTTTCACATCTGCTCCGTGCTCCTCTCTGCAGACCATCCTGCTTCTCTGTCGGGTTCTTGCTTTCTTTTTCCTCCTGACACTGGCTTGCACCTGGCTTTGGGTTTCCATGCTGCCGATTTTGGCAACTCTTTGTGACGTGGCATCTTTAATGCCAACACCCTTCGATTCAGCCTCTCTGTGTCCAAGAATTCGATTGACCTGTTTTGCCTGTCTGCCCCTGATCCAATGAGATGGTCAGAGAGCAGTGCCCAGTGCCCCCACTCCTGAAGGAACGCCCTTCCGCCCTGCAGGCAGCGCTCTCAGGAGATCTGGGCAGGGAGGAAGTGACTGGCATGTCAACCAGAGGGAGATTTCCAAATTTCTGATCTCTGATAGGTGCTGTGTGATTACATATTTATGCTTCCCCTTCGTTGTTTGCCGCTCAGCACTGACAGTCCTGCTGACAATAAACAAACTGTTCCTGGTGATATCACCTATCACCATCTAGTCTAGTCAGTAGTCACTACTCTGGTTGTCATTTATGTACAAATGCAAGAACGTATTAAAGGCAGGTCTGCCCTTCGATATTTTCCTGTCCTCTCTCAGGATCCTGTTATTCAGTTATCTTCGTAAAACTTGACTTTGGGTTTAAACCAAACCATGCAAATTCATTTTTAACAACAGAGCTAAAGGCTGTTAATGCTTCAGTAAAAACCACTGTAAACACCACATTACATCTTGCACAGGGATGCCTGCCTGACCAACAACTCGTCACGAATGCAGGGTTACTTTACAGTGTGTCTAAAACCATTACTTTCTACCGTATTCTTTTTACAAAAGTATGAAATAATTATGAGTCAGCCATGGGTGGAAGCATTTGTTATTAGTTTTCCAAAAGATGCCAAGTGCTGGAGGAAATTTTTCTCCTAGGCCAAGAACAATTCTATTTTAAAAACAACAAAATGCAAACTAGATGTTTCTTCATGTGTTAGTCTAGCATTTGAATGGCGCTAAACAGTTTTTAAGATATTTTCTCATGCATGATTGAACTTAATGTTCAAAATAAAGTTCTGGTGTTACTAGTATCATTTTGTAGCTGGAAAATGAGCTCAGGGAAGTTATGTGACTTATTCAAATCATGGTGCTTTGGGCTTCAGATAAGAGCTAAAGTCCTTTTACTCTAAATCTTGTGGTTTTGTGTGGCACTTTGCTCTTTCCTTACTTTATCCCTACGATTTTTGTGGGGAAGAGAGGCATCAGTATAAGTATTTCAAAATCCGAAAATTCTCAGTATACAGTCCTGATTTGTTTTTCCAACTCCAAGGCCTCATACATGGATAATACTAGGACAAAACTATCGCCTACTTATTTATGAAAAATTAAAAGTGATAGATTGAGGGTTACCACAGACTAGTACAAAGTTGGACCTATCCCTCACAGTTGAAATCATGGACAGTATTTTAATTCAGTGTAACCCTTTCTAACTCTTTATTTTTGTCAGGGATGTAACATTAATTAGTGAGATTAAAATAAAATGCAAATCTCTAATGAAACTATTCTTGGACAGAATAACTCTGTGCTATCTAAAAAGACCAGATTAGTCCTTAAAATGATTGGTTGTGGTGGTTAAAAGAATAAATGTTTTTAAAGGAGATAAGTGTGCTTGCTATTTATATGTACATAGATCTTACTAACTACCCACGTGTTATTATTGTTAAAGTAGGCAAATAGGTTTTCTGAGGACAGCCTCGCCCCGCCCTCACCCTGAGCAGTTCAAGTTACTCTGGGTATCCAAAAGTAATACAAAGCTTTAGCTCTCTAAAAGTCTCTAATTCAGATTTTTCATTTATTTAGATTTTTCTGTCTACTCAGTCTCAAATGAACAGAGTTTTGCTGTGTTTATTATTATAAAAAGGGAAGGCATTTGTTGAAATGTAGGTCGTCTGTGTGCACTGTTTACTAAATTTTGTTAATATTACATTGGTTGCTTTGTAACAGGATTCCCAGGACTGTGTTAAGCAGAGCAATTATAATAATTTAGAGAGAATGAACAAGAAACAACCCACATGTAATAAAATATGAAGGAAAAGGAGGCACCTGGAGCACGTGAGTTATTTTTATTTCAAATTATTTTTTAATTTAATTTTTTAAAATTTTATCTTTATTGTTGAAAGTATTACAGATGTTGCTTGTTTTTTTCCCCATTGACCCCCTTCACCCTGTACCGCCCTCCCCAGGATTTCACCACAGTATTTATTGTCCGTGTCCATGGGGCTATGCATATATGCATATATGCATATAAGTTCCCCAGTTAATTTCTCCCTCCACCCCCCCCCCTTCCCTCTGAAATTTGTCAGTCTGTTCCATGTTTCTATGTCTCTGAATCTATTTTGTTTATCAGCTCTCCAGATCCATCCATGCTGTTGCAAAGGGTAAGAGTTGTTCCTTTTTATTTTTATTTTTTATTTTTTTTACAGCTGTGTAGTATTCCATTGTGTAGATGTACCACAGTTTTTTAATCCACTCATCTGCTGATGGGCACTGGGGCTGTTTCTAAATATCAGCTATGGTGAATTTCACTGCTATGAACATAGGGGTGCATATGTTCTTTCTAATTGGTGTTTCCGGTGAAATTCTTCTTTACGTTGACTATATTCCTACTCTCTTTGTTTAAAAGCATTTAGTGTCACGTTGGGATGAAATATGACCTACACATTTAGCCAACTATTTAGGGGAAAGGAAAGAGAGCACAGCTGATGGGCGGAGCTGAAGCGGGGAGAGAGGAAAACAGGGACTCACGTTTCTGTCTTTCACTTCTGTTTGAGGGTTTCATTTGCAAGGTTCAAGGTGGTCTCCTTTGCCTGCCCAGCCTGCCACTGTGATGTTCGTGCCACAGGCAGTACGGAGAAATGGGGAGGGAAAAGAGTACCAGCCCCTCATTCCCGCGCCTTTAAAGAGGCTAATTGGAGGTCCCACAGAACACTTCTATGATAACTTAGTCATGAATCTACAACTGGACTGGGATATATAATCCCTTATTTCAAGCAATAACGCACCCCGTTAAAAACGGAGTTCTGGAAAAGTCGCCATTTTGCAACCATCATGGGAAAGACTAACCTGGATAAGAATCACTAGGGAATGTTCAACCCAGGGAGGAAAGTTGCTGAAGAGAGAACATTTATACGGTCTTAAAGTACTTCCTCCCAGATTGCTTATTGGTCACAAAGGGGGAAGGAAGTGTACAATGGAGAAACCAGACTGCATCCTGACCCAGGGATGGAGAGGGACGTAACCAGGAGCAGGAGACGCCATGTGGCCTCCAGATGTGACCTTGGGAAGGACATGAAGTCGCTTCTGTGGCATTCCAGCTGGGAAGACATAACCTGAATCTAATCACGAGAAGACTCCAGACAAACCAAAATGAAGGAACGGTCTGTAAAAGAACTGACCTATACTTTTAAAAAATTGCCAATGTCATGAAAGATAAGGAAAGCTGATAAGCTGTTCCAGATTAAAGGAGGCTAAAGAGACATAACAACCAAATTCAATTCATGATCCTGGACTTCGGCCTGCACAGGAAGAAAACAAAATTCTATAGGGAACATGTGACTAAAGTGGTAGGGGTATTTCATTAATATTACACTGGGTGAATTGTTAATATTATTAATATTAATTGTTAATAATTAATATTATATTGAGAGAATTAATAGGACCTGCTGACTAAGTGTTGAATCTGTTTTCTTCTCTAGATCCCTAGAGCCACTGTCTTAATTCAGGCTCTCAGCATTTCTGCCCTCAGCCCATTTCTAGAACTTTCCAACTAATATCACATTGTCTTTCCTTTCCAGTCAGTCTGCCATATTGTCACCAGAGTGATGTTTTGAAGCACAAATAGGATTATGCCATAGCCCTGTCTTAGTCCATTCAGGCTGCTATAACAAAAGTATTATACACCAGATGACGTATAAACAAAATACATTTGTTTCTCACAGTTCTGGGGGCTGAGAAGTCCAAGGTCATAGCACTGGCAGATTTTCTGTCTGATGAGGACCCACTTCCTCACTGAGGGCCGGCCCTCCTCCAGAATCTCACGTGGAGGAAGGGCAAACGAGCCCTCTTGGTCTATTTCACAAGGGCATTCATCCCATTCATGAAGAATTGAACCATATGACCTAATCACCCTTGGAAGACTCCACTTCCTAATACCACCACATTAAGGATTAGGATTTTTAACATATGAATTTGTGGGGACACAAAGATTCAATCGATAGCACCCCTAATTAGAAGTCATCCGTGGCTTGCCATTGCCTATTCCTAATCTGCCATATGAGACCCTTCTCTGCACAGATCCAGACTTCTGTGTGGGTCATTTCTTTCTGGCACTCGCCTCTCAAATGGTTCCAGTTATTGATAGGTCCCTCCACCTTCAGTAGCCATGATGTAACACCCAGGATGACGTAACAAAGACAAGGATGGGATGGAATAAGCCAGTGAGATAGGCAGTCACTTTAAAGCATTTACCTAGTTTGAAATATAGGCTGGGCTATCGTGTGGAATGACTCCATTACAATTTTTTCAAAGGAATTAATTTTTCAGAGAAATAAAGAAGTGCCTACTGCTTGTGCCAACTCAAAGGAAAGGGCAAATGGAGATGGGCTTGTTGGCTGACTTCCATCCTAACATTTCCTGTGAGGCTATTCGATGCTGCCAGCTGAGGATCTCATTAGCTTAGTCCGAACTATTCCATCAACAGCCATTTTCCTCCATCACAGCTGATGCTGAGAGGCATGTGTCATAAAAGTCCACATACTCCCAAAGGGTAGACCCTTGGCTGAACGAACATAAATCACTGTTGTTGAATTAAGTGACCCATGGGGTTCCCAAGAGAAGTTTCCTTTCTATTTTATAGTTACGTGGTAAAAACTCATGATTTTCCATACCCAGGTGTCTTTTCTCCCATTTCCCATCTGCTTATTCCCTATAATTTTTCTAAAACGTTATCCCATCATTCTGCTCAATAAAAAAGATTGCTTACCTCACTTGCTCTCAGGGATAAAGGAAGTGTCACGGGAATTGCATTTAGCAACGAGATGATAAAATGCTTTTCCTCTGGACTTATCAAATAAGATTACCAGCAGACAAATACTTCCCTAGAATTCAAGGCAGAAGGCCCGGCTATGGTATATTTATTCCATAGATCAATATCTATACCCAAACTCACATTTTTAAGGCATCTGCTTTAACTGCTGTCAAGCATTCCCTCAAAAGTCGAGGCTCCGTTGGTATCCTGAACAGTAAGAGAGGATTGAGAGTATAATTGTGAACTGCCCGAGTAATGATTATTCATTTTGCACCATGTATTCTGTCAAGTGGAATTCCAATTGTGACCACACACCAAGCTCATTTCTATGTAGAAGAGAGAATCTATGGCTCTCATAATAGCTCTGTATTTCACAGGGATGCTGCTATCACCAATACATTATTTTATACCCAATCTGTGTACTTGGAATGTATTGATTTCTCCCTTGCTCTGTGAATTACAAAAGTAACTTACCTTATATTCTTGGAGTAAGGGAAATAATGTACCTTTTGTGACAGCAGCAATTTCTGAGCCACAGATCCACTTAATTTATTATACATAGACTCTAAAATCATCCATGAAGATTCCAGGAGAATACTACTGGTTCATCAACGTTGATGAAAGTTTCCAAAGACTTGGCAAAAATCTTAAGTGTTAAATGTTCCCACATACAGTAGGTGAGCGATCACTTTTTATAAGTCCTGCACGCTAACCAATTATGCTGCTGGAATTCCTAGTGATCACTTATTAATGGGACAGGTGATATCTGCTCTACCCACCTCGCAGGCTTGTGTGAATCTTATGAAGTAATTTATAGGAAAAAAGTCTAAAGTGTTATATTAATATTAAGCATTATTTAAAATAACGCTTTCTCTTTATTACATTCATTGGGCTGGCATTGGTTAATAAGATTGTATAGGTTTCAAGTGTACGGTTCTATGATGTGTGCCTGTATATCGCATTGTGTCCCCACCACCCAAAGTCAAATCATCTTCCTACTATGCCTGGCTCTTCCTCAGGAGTGGTCCTGAAGACCATTCCTGTGCAGAGTAAAATGGACTGGCTCCGTGCTTCTGAACGTGGAGGCTCTATCCCATGGAAAAAGGCAAATTGGGCCAAAACTGGTTTGGCTAAGTGAATAGAGCATCGGTCTGCGGACTGAAAGGTCCCAGGTTCGATTCCGGTCAAGGGCATGTACATTGGTTGTGGGCACATCCCCGGTAGGGGGTGTGCAGGAGGCAGCTGGTCGATGTTTCTCTCTCATAGATGTTTCTAGCTCTCTATCCCTCTCTCTTCCTCTCTGTAAAACATCAATAAAATATAATAATAATAATAAAAAAAGGAACTTAAAAAAAAGGCAAACTGAGAACTAGGTCACCGATCTGGAAGCCCAAAGAAGTAAGCACACGTCTCCGATGGTAACTGGGGCATAACATCTTTGTGAACTGATATGGAAGGGGATCCGTCCTGTCAGTGCCCCAGTTAACACTCTTGTGACGGTCTGTTCTGACTCGGACTGTTCGTGGCGTGGTGCACGTCTGTCCACAGGCCTCTCTTTTCCCCGATGGTCTGTCTTCTCTTCCCATGAGCCCCTTTGTTGCCGGCTGATAAATTATGTCTCAACGTTGCTGCTGGCCTTTTGGCAGCTTGTGCCTGCAGTTTTTAATAAACAGCCAGCACAAAGGAGTTGACTCTGATGGACCCATAGTCCAAGAATACACATCACAGAGAGACAGGCATCTTCAGTTAATTCAACAGTCAGCTTGCTGGAGAGCGCTCCTGGAAGCAGATGAATTGGAGCATTGTGGCTTTTTTCCTTTTGGCCATGATTTTGTTGTGTAAGGTTAGGCAAAGTGCAAACTGTGCTGAGACGCTCTGGACGAGAGGGGGTAAATGTCACGGGGCTGAATGTGCTCACTGAGCTCGGAAAGATCCTCTGGGAGGAACAGGGGGAGCAGCTGGAAGGTGAGAGGGGGCAGTAAATGGCCAAACGTACCCCTCCGAGATAAGTGGAGAAGGGTGCACA